TAATTGCTGAAGAGTCACATCACGAACGAGCTGTCAGTATTAATGAAATAGAGCAAGTGGCGACTCAAGAAGGGGTAGAAAATTCTCCACGACGATTTTGGCAAATTATGTCCATGGAGGAAGCAACAACAACAACAGACCAAATATACAATAAAATAATATCATTCTCCCCAAACAACATATTTGAAATACCAAAGTGCAATACAACCAAAGAACTAATCAGAGAGATACAATTCCTAATAACTGAGTATACAAACAGCACGTTCCTACAGCAATCGCCCTAAAAATCGCTGCAATACTTCCCCACTTAATATGCCAGAAAACACACAGGAAATCAAAAACATCAGACAACGTAAAAGCCATGAGGAGAAGGATGGAAAAATGGAAAACAGGAAACATACACGGACTCCTTAAGGAGGCAGAGGCCCTACAAAACAAGATTAAAAAGATAAGTGCAAAGAAAAAGGAACTGGATAACTGTAGGAAATTTGCTAACTTAATGCAGCAAGGGAAAGTGACGAAAGCAGTAAGGATCCTAACATCTGAAGACAACGCAGGAACCCTACCTCTAGACGACAACACACGTCGACTACTAAATGAAAAGCACCCACCCGCCCAAGAGGCACCCCCTGAAACACTGTTTCGTGGAGAATATCACCCTCCACCCCCGGAAATATTTGAAAGTATTACCGGGGAAAAGATAAGGAAATTTGCGCTCCACACAAACGGCGCCGCTGGACCCTCAGGGCTGGATGCAGAAGGATGGAAGAGCATTCTGAGCACCAGCAAATTTGGAAATGCTGCAAATGATTTATGTAAAGCCATTGCAGCATTGGCAAGAAAACTCGCCACGGAGAATTGCCAAAACCTCGATGCCCTAACGGCCTGCCGATTAATAGCATTAGACAAGAAGCCAGGATGCCGTCCCATTGGTATAGGAGAAGTCCTGCGCAGAATAATCGGCAAAGCCATAATGGATGTGGTGGTAGACGACGTCAAGACAGCAGTTGGAAATCTCCAGGTGTGTGTGGGTCAGCAAGCAGGATGTGAGGCGGCCATACATGCAGTACGAAAGATCTATGAAGATCCTAATTGTGAAGCAGTACTGATGGTGGACGCAGCAAATGCTTTCAATAATATAAACAGGAAAGCCACAATACACAATATAGAAATAAAATGTCCAAGCATTGCTCAATATATAAAAAACACATACAGTCAACCAGCAAAGCTCCACATATATGACAAACAGACAAACACATGTGAAACGATCGCGTCAAACGAGGGTACAACCCAGGGCGACCCAATCGCTATGGCAATGTACGCTCTTGGTCTCCTTAAGCTACAGGATCACATTAACTTCAGTGATACAAACATCAAGCAGGTGGCTTATGCTGACGACCTAACAGGTGCTGGAAAGATTACACACTTACAAAAATGGTGGGAAATAATAGAAAGATACGGTCCTCCTCTTGGGTATTACCCAAATGCTGTTAAATCTGTTCTTACTGTAAAACACGAACATCTGGACCATGCCAAAGAAATTTTCAAGAATAGCCAAATCATTATAACATCTGGAGGGGAAAAACACCTAGGAGCAATTCTTGGAACAAATTCAGCAAAAGCAGAATACGTTAAGAAACAAGTTTACAAATGGATACATGAACTGAAGTTACTAGCACAGTTTGCAGAAGTAGAGCCCCACAGTGCTTACACAGCATTCACATTTGGCATGAAACACAAATGGAGCTTTCTGATGCGGACTGTGCCAGGAACTGAACAATTATTTGAACCCTTAGAAGAAATAATAAGAAAAGAATTGATACCAGCTCTATCAGGAGGACGAAACCCCACGGCAATAGAGAGAGCAATCCTGGCACTTCCACCAAGACTCGGGGGACTCGGGATAACTGACCCATGCAGGATTGCTAACACGGAACACCAAAACTCCATCAAGCTAACAACCAGCCTAACCCAATATATCATAGCACAGGACAGCCTCACTCAACCAGACCAAAGCGAACAAAAAAGAACAAGAAATGAAATTTCAATAGCAAGGGAAACACAGCAAAAGCATGATCTACAAGAGATACTGCCACAACTCTCAGAAGAAATGAAAAAAAGACTTGAAATGGCAAGAGAAGTCGGAGCATCTAACTGGCTGACAACTCTCCCAATAAGATCAAAGGGGTTTAGCCTGAACAAACAGGAGTTTGTTGACGCTATATCCCTCAGATATGGATGGGCAATTGATGGGCTCCAACAACAATGCACCTGTGGCTCATCCTTTGACCCAAACCACGCAATGACCTGCAAGACGGGTGGCTTCGTCTGCATGCGTCATGACGAAGTGAGGGACGTGACAGCCCAAATGCTGGGCGAGGTCAGCCGAGATGTCAGGGTCGAGCCATCCCTCATTCCCACGGCGGGGCGGAACTTCTCGCTCCAATCAACAAACACCGCCGATGATGCCCGCCTGGACGTGAGTGCCAATGGATTCTGGGTACGGGGGCAGCGAGCCTTCTTTGACATCAGGATCTTCAACCCGATGGCAGCAAGCAACCGCACCCAAGAACTAAAATCGGCCCACGCCAAACATGAGAAGGAGAAGATGAGGGAATACGGCGAACGAATACGAGAGGTGGAGCAAGGAACTTTTACCCCCCTCGTATTCACCACCACCGGAGGCATGGCACCGAAAGCCATCACCTTCTATTCGTACCTCGCACAGCAGCTTGCAGAAAGAAGGCAACAACCAAAAAGCTGCGTCGTGGCATGGATGAGGTGCCGACTGGCCTTCTCGCTGCTCCGCTCATCGTTACTCTGCCTCAGGGGGACAAGGACCAAACCAAACCAATACACTAATATTAAGGATCTAGATATAGAAGAAACAGTAGTAATAGTAGAATAAATAGAAATATGTAATGTATACATTTGTAATATCCTTGTATATAAAACATATGTATTTTTTATTGAATAAAAATAAAAAAAAAATTAAAAGACGGATGCCGACCACAGCCATTGGCGAGAAAGGGGCCAATGGACTGTTTTGTGAAATAGTAAGTTATACATTTCACAACACAGCTTCCTAGCTGATTTCTTAATAAAATAATGGAATGGAGGTCGGATTATAAAAAAAAAAAAAAAAAAAAAAAAGAGAGAGAGAGAGAGAGAGAGAGAGAGAGAGAGAGAGAGAGAGAGAGCGAGAGAGAGAGAGAGAGAGAGAGAGAGAGAGAGAGAGAGAGAAAGAGAGAGAGAGAGAGAGAGAGAGAGAGAGAGAGAGAGAGAGAAGAGAGAGAGAGAGAGAGAGAGAAAGAGAGAGAGAGAGCGAGCGAGCGAGAGAGAGAGAAAGAGAGAGAGAGAGAGCGAGAGAGAGAGAGAGAGAGAGAGAGAGAGCGAGCGAGCGAGAGAGAGAGAGAGAGAGAGAGAGAGAGAGAGAGAGAGAGAGAGAGAGAGAGAGAGCAAGAGAGAGAGAGAGAGAGAGAGAGAGAGCAATAGAGAGAGAGAGAGAGAGAGAGAGAGAGAGAGAGAGAGAGAGAGGGAGAGAGAGAGAGAGAGAGCAAGAGAGAGAGAGAGAGAGAGAGAGAGAGAGAGAGAGAGAGAGAGAGAGAGAGAGAGAGAGAGAGAGAGAGAGAGAGAGAGAGAGAGAGAGAGAGAGGTGGAGATTTAGAAAGGATATTAGAGAATGTTAGATGATGTTAGATAATCCTGAGTGGGACATATCAAGAGGAACATAATTTATTGATACTATGGCAAGTCATGATAACAACGGAAGACACGAAGACTAATTCACACTCTCGTTTTGTTACTTCTTTCTGTTATTATCTATCCTCTTCCTCCCTCCCGAGATAGATAGATAGATAGAGAGAAAGAGAGAGAGAGAGTGTAGGGACTAAGAGTAAAACTAAGAGAAAATAAAACAATAATAATAAAAAACAGCAGGAAGATTACTACATAATCAAATCAACAGAAAGAAAGACAGATAGATGAATAAATATATAGTCATGCAAATACCGGAATAAAAAAACGGTCAAGTGTAGATCCATAGTATGAAAGAGACAGATTGATACGAGCTTTTGCCACGTTGCATAGAGCAATCTGGAAGGAAGAGAGGAAAACCCAGAAAGGAGGAAGAATATATGTAAAGGGAATATGGGAGATGGGTGAAAATAATAAAAGTGGAGAAAAGAAAAAAAAGATAGATATTAGGGGAAGAGAACGTACGAGAAAGACAAAGAGGAAGAAACAAGAGGATTGAGTTGAATGGAAAACAAAAATAGACACACAAAAAAATGGTCTTGTGGTTGAGATTTTAAAGATTTGTCAATTAAGGTCCATAATTTTTGCAGGGGGGGGGGAGGGGAAGATAAGGGTGGGGGAGGGATAGGGAGGGGAAGGGAGGGGAGAGAGAGGAGAGGGGAAGGGTGGGGGAGGGAGGAAAAGGAGGGAGGAGAGGAGAAGAGTATGGGTAGGGGAAGGGGAAGAGAGGGGAAAGGTGAGTAGGAGGGGATGGGGGGGGGGGTGCAGTAAGGAGAGCATTCGACATATTCGCGTGTTTTCCTGTTCCTCCTCTTCGTCCTTTCTACTCGCACCTCCATAAAGTGCGCAAAATGCTTCCCCCCCCACCCCCCTCCTCTGCCACCCTGCCATAGATGAAGACACGCCAGACCCAACAGTACGAGGCAGCAGTACTTAGTCCTTGAAAGCAACTGAGACGGGATTCCTTCAATATTTAGACGGTTTTAGTTCTCTGTTTCAACCTCATTACCAACGAGGGAGTTTATTTATTGTTTTATTTATTCATCAAACGGAGGATTTTATTCTTACTGTGATGTTGGTTTATTCTATGCAGATTGTGGGGAGATTAGCTGTAGCGAGTCTAAAAAGTGGTTTATGTTATTAATGATGATGATGTTGATAGTAATAAGAGAGATAATGGGGATTTTGATTATCTTTGTGTGTGTATGTGCGTTTGTGTGTGCGTGTGTGTGTTTGTGTGTGTGTATTTATGTGCATATACGCATGTGTGTGCGTGTGTGTGTTTGTGTGTGTGATTATGTGCATGTACGTTTGTGTGTGTGTTTATATGCATTTGTATTTGTGTTTATGTACCTGTGTGTTTTTTACCTATGTGTATTAAAATCCATGTGTATTTATGTGTTTCTGTTTATGTACATGTATGTGTATTTATAATTATATATGTATCTGAGTATTATATGCACGTACACGAACACCCACGGAAACACACGTATCCGTATGAAAACAGCGACTGTTACCCCCCCCCCTCCAAAAAAAAGGAAATAGCAGCTGAAAAGAAAAAAAAACTCCTCCGCTGCAAAGAGATACGTTCCTGTTTGCCAATCTAATCTCGAAAATCAAATACAAAATACATAAACGTGTTTACAAACAGCAACTCTAATCTTATCCAAAGTCTCGACTAGTTTGTTTACATTTCCTTAAAGGGATAGGTTCGCTTTTTTTTTTTTTTCTTTTGCGTTTGTTTTTTTTTTGTTTTTGTTTTTGTTTTAGCTTTCTTGTTTTTCGTCTTCCTAATTCTTTCCTTATTCTTTTTACTTCTTCCCTTTCCCTTATTCTTTTACTTTGTCTTTCCATTTTTCATATTCTTTTTCGTCTTATTTTTTTTTTTTGTAATTTCTGAAATAGAGAGTAACGGGGAAAGGAGAGAGAGAAAGAGAGAGAGAGAGAGAGAGAGAGAGAGAGAGAGAGAGAGAGAGAGAGAGAGAGAGAGAGAGAGAGAGAGAGAGAAGAGAGAGAGAGTGAGAGAGAGAGAGAGCGACAGACAGACAGACAGACGGAGAGGGATATATATATATATATATATATATATATATATATATATATATATATATATATATATATATATATATATATATAGAGAGAGAGAGAGAGAGAGAGAGAGAGAGAGAGAGAGAGAGAGAGAGAGAGAGAGACAGACAGACAGAGAGATGCAGAGAGAAAGAGAAAGAGGGAGGGAGGGAAGACCACACATAAAACGACTTTACTGACAGAAATACAAAAAAACAAACAAACAAACAAACAAACAAACAAAACTAACTCGATAAATCAAACTAAAATAGAATAAACAAAAGGAAAGGAAATGAAAGAGAGGATAAGATGAAGTAGATAGCAAGACATACTCCCCCCCCTCCCCCCCCCCCGTTGGCACTGAAAGGAATCCAGTTTATAATTAGGCCTTTAATTAAACATTTCGTCGACTCAGAAAGGAGAAAAGCTTGGAAAAAAGGAAGAGGAGGAAGAAAGTTAAAGGAGGGAGAAGGAAAGAATTTTAGAAAAATGGAAGAGGAGAAAAAAACAAGAAAAAGGAGAAAGAGAATAAGAAGTGGGAAGTGAGGAGAATTGTTGGAAATGAGAAGATAAAGAAAAAGAGTAAGACAGAAGAAGGAGAGTAAGAGAGAGAGATAAAAAGGAAATAGAAACGGAGAAGAAAGCTGATAAACAAGAAGGAAAGAGAATGAGATAAATGTAAATGCAACGACAGAAAGCCAAATTAGTTTTTTAAAAGAATAAGAAGAAAAAGGAGATAATGATAGAATTATAATGATAAGAAGAAGATGAAGAAAAGAGTAATAAGAAATAGAAATAGTAATAAGAAATAGAATAGATGAAGAGAAAAGTAAAGCATGAAAAACAAGAACGAGAAAGAAAGAGAGAGAAAGAGAGCGAGAGAGAGAGAAGGGGGGGGGGGGGAGAGAGAGAGAGAGAGAGAGAGAGAGAGAGAGAGAGAGAGAGAGAAAGAAACAGAGACAGAGAGAGGAAGAAGACAGTGAGAGAGAAAAATAGAGAAAGGGAGAGAGAGAAACGGGGAAATAAAACGGAGAATAAGCCCCGGTCGGTATGTATTCACATTTTGTCTTTCAGTAAACACTCAAGTCGTTTTAGGATCTCGTTCCTGCCGCGAATTCAAATAAGATCTTATTTTGATTTATCTTCTTGTTTGGGAGCGCGTGTTTATGCGAGAGAGAGAAAGAGGGAGGGAGTGGATGAGAGAGAGAGAGAGGGCAGTGGGAGAGACGGATGGAAGGAGAGAGAGAGAGAGAGAGAGAGAGAGAGGAGAGAAAGAGAAAGAAAGAGAGAGAGAGAATATACATGTAAGTGTGTAGATGTGCCTCTCTCTCTCTCTCTCTCTCTCTCTCTCTCTCTCTCTCTCTCTCTCTCTCTCTCTCTCTCTCTCTCTCATTCTCTCTCTCTCTCTCTCTCTCTCTCTCGATGAAGCGGTGACGAGGCTAAGTTGTCCTCTTGGGTTTGGGAGCCACGAGGAGCCTGGCTTGGCTTCGAAGGTGCCTTCTTGAGCTAATGGCTTGCGCAAATCGTGGTTATATGCACGCGATATTCCCTCTCTTAATTTTTCCATTTATCACGTTCTGTTTTACTTTGTCTCTTTCTACTTTCCTTTCTTCTGTCCTTCTCTCCATTTATCTTGTTCTATTCGTCTTCCTTTATATCTTAATTTCTCTCAGCCTC